TGTGTGTGTGTGTGGTGTGTGTGTGTGTGTGTGTGTGTGTGTGTGTGTGTGTGTGTGTGTGTGTGTGTGTGTGTGTGTGTGTGTGTGTGTGTGTGTGTGTGTGTGTGACCCCCTCCCCTTTTCGGCGCGGCGAGCCCAGGGCGAGGGGAGCGAGAAGGAGAATGCCTTCTCAGAGGGCTCGGAAGTCCCCAGCCTTCTGAGGAGCTTTCTGAGCGTTCCCCCAAGACGCAGAAGACCTCTCGGAGGGCTCGAGGCCTTCTGAGAAGCCCACGAATTCTGAAGTACGTTCATGCAATTGTTCTTCTTCCGACGGTGCTCTTACGGCAGGCTCGTGTCGTGCCGACTTCCGCGCTGGTTCCTACCACCGCGGGGATCGTTCCACCTTGAACGATCGGCCGCTTCCGAAGCGTCCTTTCCTTCAACATCGACCGCTTCTGGGTCGCCGGCGGCGCCGGCGTGGAAGGCCGGCGGCCGGGCTGCCGCCGGTCGACACGACGCGAACCTGCCGTACCTTTAGGTCGAGCGTGTCCCCCTACAGGCGCATTCTGGACGAAAAACATGAAAAGTACCCCCAAAAAAATGCTCCAAAAGTGTTCGAGAGGAGTCAGGAAAGCGTCCCCAGACTATCTTTTTTGACTACTTCGGACTATGCCTCCAGTAGAGAGAGACAGGCCCGACTTCACCGCACCTCACCTCCGCCACCGCCGGGCTTCCGCCGCCCTCCGGGAGGGGGGGGGGCAGCTCGCCGCCCTCCGCTGAGCGCACCCGGGGGGTGGGGGCCTTCCGCTCTCCGGTCCCTCCGGGCCGCGGGGCACAGTTGGGGCGTTGACCTAAGGAACGATAAATATGGAACGAAGCCCCTTTTTCCATCAGTTAAACTTCGATTTCCCATCGACAACCAAAGGAAAACCTAAGGCACAGTGTAAAACAACAAAGGAACACGGGGCCCCTCCCAGACGAAAAGGGTTCCTTCTTCAGGGACCCGACTGTACCCCCCCCTCGGCCACACGCAAGGGTGGCCCTGGGCAAGAGCGACCTCTGCAGAGGCCTCCCAGACGGGGTCGGAGCAGACGGGGTCGGAGGATCTCGCCGCATCGTCGGTGCATCACCGGTGCATCGGCGACGCATCGGCGGTGCATCGGCGGCGTCGGCGTGGAGGAAATCGTGGGTTACCCATCTAGCCGCATCGCCGATTCATCGGCGACGCGGCGCAATGCTCCGACCCCCTCCACGTCGACCCCATCTGGTAAGCCTAGACTTTGGTGCGCGGCTTCTGTGGGGCCGCGGGGGGGCCAAACACAAGCGCTCAAGACGCTACTGTCGCATCAGGATCGGCGCTCTGAGGCCCCAGTGGGCCCGCACCAGAGGTCACTCCAGCGAAGGGTCGCTCTTACGTGTAGTCGACCCCACCCCGTTGGAGCGCAACCCCGGCCACCTCGGCGCGGCTGAGGCAGCCGCTGTGGTCCCTGTCCTGGGGGGGCCAGAAGGTCTTGCCATCGCTCGGACGTCCATTCCCCGTGCACTTTTCGGCCTCGTGCGCTTCTCTTCTTGTTCGCAAGGTGAACCAAGATGCTCCTCGGTGGTCCCCGCCGCGAAAAACGCACACGTCCGAACGATGCCGAGAGGTTCCGATACTTCTACGCCCTGGACACGTCCCAGGGCGCGCTCTGGCCGTGGAGACGAGAGATCCCCAGGACGAGCAGCTGAGCTCGTTACAGTCGGACCTGGGACAAGAACATGGGACCCTCCGCCGGCCAAAACACACAGAACATCCCAAGGGTGCCCTCCCCCAGGGTGCACAGGAACAGCGAACAAAGGGCACCCTCCCCGAACCGACCTCGGTCTCACACCTCGGTCCGACTGCACCTGCTTCTCCTCCGATGTCCAGCTGGTCGAACAGCTGCCGCCGCAGGCTCGACCCGGCGAAGGGGCCGTCCGTCTGCATCCTGCGGCGGACCACCTGCAGCGGATAGACGACCACCTGCGCGAGCGCGGCGCTCACGCTGCCTGCGGCGAGCCGCTCGACGAGCGGCACGTCGTCGTCGTCGGCGACGCCGTGGCAGGCCCGCAGCTGCTGCTTGAGCGCCTGCGTGGCTCGGACAGACAACAACCGTCGAACCTGTACTGTCAGAGCTTGCCCTGGGGCACCCGCAGCTCGGGCCAGACGAAAGGGGGGGCAGCGAATTGAGGTTCAGCTGAGGTCGGGCCTGTCCCCCAACAGGGGGATATTGGAGGAACAATAAAAATACTCTCACAAAACTCAAACAACAATAAGAAATAATCAAAAAATCGCACCCTGATCATGTTTTATTATACAGGCCTGGTCTCCCCGGCGCCTCCCGGCGCCAGAGGCGCCCACCGGCGGGGCCGAAACCGGCTGCAACACGCAGCAGCTGTCGCAGCTCCCCCCTTCCCCCGGCGGCGCCAGCACGACGCCAGGCAGCCACACCAGGCAGCAGCGCCTTTCGTCTGGCCCAAGCGGCGACGCCAGGCGCCGCTCCGCCCACCATGGCCGGGGATCTCGCTAAGGCCGGGCCTGGGACGGAGGAGGAGCCTCTCCCTCGAGAACATGGGACCCTCCGCCGGCCCACACACACACACACACAGAACGTCCAAGGGTGCCCTCCCCCAGGGGGCACAGGAACAGCCACGACAAGCACGAAGAGCATCAGGGTACTCCGAGCTTCTCACCAGGCGCCGGGGGGGCGCCACCCCCGCCGACAGCCCCGCATCGGCCCCCGTCGCGGGCAGCCACCGCGCGCCGAAGGCGCTCCGACCCCCGCCGCGGCGCGACGACGAGGCGAGGTTGACCCCCGTCGGGGGGGGACCCCCCCACACTTCTTAGGAAACCCAGGGCACCCTCCCCGAACCGACCTCGACCTGACACCTCGGCCCGACGGCAGCCCCGAGCACGCGACGCCGGACGCAGGGCCGTGGCCGCCCCCGCCGCGCGATGGCGACGGCGGAGCAGACAGAGCTCCGCCACCGTGGCCCCTGGACCAGGCACGGAGCCCCTCCGGGGCCCCGGCCGCGCCGAGGTGCGCGAGCTGCGCCAGGGGGAGGCCCTCGGAGAAGCCAAGGAGCGGAGCTGGCCCGCCTCAAGAGCAGGGCGAGCCTTGATCTCGGAGCTCCGATTCCTGCGGGGGCCGGTCTCGCGCGCGTCTCGCCTGGGAAGTGCTGCGAGCTCGGGTGCCTGGTCCGCTCCTGCCCTCTCTTGACGTTGCATGACCATGCCCAGCATCGCCTCACGCTTCGCATGCTGTGGCCACATCGATTCAGAGGCTGGCTGCGTCTTCTTTGGACACGCCTCGAAGCAGCGAAGGGAAGCTCATGGAAAGTTGCGGTGCTGGAGCCTGGGAGGGCCCCCGTTCGAGCGGGGACCCCCCATCCAGCATCCGGTGACGAGCAAACAACACGCACTCATACCCACAGAGGGGACGGAGGGGGCTATGGGTGCGTGCTGTCGGAAGGGGGATCCCCGCTCGAGCGGGAACCTCCCCCGCGGTCCGACAACCCGCACACCCATACCCATAGCCAGTCCTCATGCCTCCGACCCTCCTGTGGGTCTGGGTGTGTGTGTGTGTGTGTGTGTTGTTCGCTCGTCATCCTGCGGCTTGCGCCTGCCGCCCTGGTGGAATCTGACTCCTGGGGCCCGCGGAGACCTCTAGGGGGCCAAAGGCTGATTGTCGGCCCACGGTGCCTCGAAGGTGCCCCAGGATATGGCACCGTAGGGCAGCACGCCGATCAGCGTCGGCTGCAGACCCCGGTAGAAGGCCGAAGGCCCGTCGCACCGCAGCACGTGCTCCACGGCCGTCAAGTAGTTGCGGTGCGCCGGCAGCGGGCCCATGTGCGACACGAGGCGGGTGCGCATCACGTCCTGCCGGAGAAAACTGGCACCATCTATGCCGCTCATGCTGCACCAGCAGCCTTTGGTCCAGAGAGGTGTCGCACACAACTTTGAATCCAGAACTGGAAGGCTTTCGCGAAGCCCAGAAAACCAATCATCATCCCATCCCAGACCTCCGACGACTCGAATTGCTCAAAATCGCCAGCGTTTCATCCTGGGCCGTGACTCGACTGCCCTGTGGCCCGAAAACGGTCCGAGGCCAGCAACGGCAACGATAAACTCACAAACAAACATTGAACGCAGGTAGGGTAGCGACATGTCCAGGTCGCCATGGGTTTGGGATTTTTTGTCTCTTTCTCTCTCTCTCTCTCTCTCTCTGCGCCCTCTTGTCCCTCACAGAGCAGGAGGGGGGAGAAGCGGGAAGAGGAGCAGGAGAACGGGGAGGAGAAGGCGAGAGGAAGAGGATGAGCAGGAGGAGGAGGACCAAAATAAACCCTAGATGCACATCCGCCAGATCCAACCGTCACCATCCGATGCAACTAACAACTAATTCGGCACACGTCCATCCGACCCAACCCTCACCACACTGTGATGAAGAGCATTGCATTCGGCGCGCATCTGCTGATCTTCAACATCGGCCCACCCCCTGGCCCCGACGAGCCCCCTCCTTTCCGTGGGCACACACTGCAGGAACAACATAACCAACCCGATAACGATTACATAATTATTCGATACGTTTCGGGCACCCATCGGGGACTCCGATTTGGGACCCGCACGTTCCCGAGGCCTCCAGGCGTTTCCAGACGCTCCAAGACGCTACAATCCCTCCCATAGCGTTCCCAGGCTCGCCGTCGCCACCAGCACTAGCAACATAACACATCCTCGTCTCCATCGTCCCTGTCGCCGCAGGACGCTTCAAGGAACAGATGAATCCAGAGCGCGTTGACGCGTGGACCACAAACTTGATTCACACTGGGGCTCTCGCTTTGCTGGCGCCGCACATCGTCGTTTTACACCACCAAAGAGCAGATAGTGGGCCGGTCACTTCCAGAAAGGGTTCTCGCCCTGGCGCCGTGCATACTCGGCCTCCAAGCTGTCCTTAGCTGCGCGAGTGGATGGCAAGTCCGTTCCAAGACGGTGAGGGCATTTAGCA